CCCACATCCACGATCGGCACAGGGACGCGGGGAGAAGAAGAAGTAAGTGTGAGGGGATGAGAGCCACCGACAGACCGGCCCGATCTCAGAAGCAAGTTGCTGGAAGACTGCTCAGGTAAGCCTGCACTTTCCCCCCCACATGGTGCTGTATTAATGTATTGCTGGGATTTGTATTCCTCTATAGCTGTTAGTACATTACTCTGTATAATTAATATACAGCACAATCAGCTATAGAGGAATACAAATCCCAGCAATACATTATACACTGTATGTATAATGTACTATTGCTGGGATTTGTTGTACTCCTCTATAGCTGGTGGAATCTGCATTGCGCTGTATAGAGGACTACAAATCCCATCAATACATTGTACAGCGCAATAACACCAGCTATAGAGGAATACAAGAAATCCCAGCAATAGTACATTATAAAGCGCAATGCAGAATACAGCCAGCTATAATGTACTATTGCTGGGATTTGCTGCATTCCTCTATAGCTGGGGTTATTCTGCATTGCACTGTATAATGTATTATTGCTGGGACTTATAGTCCTCTATAGCTGGTTGTATTGTGCATTGCGCTCTATAGTGTACTATTGCTGGGATTTGTAGTCCTCTATAGCCAGTGCCATTTTGCATTGATTGCTGCATAATGTTACACTTTCCCTTTCACAATATTGCACCCCACACTTTTTTTTTTTACTTCCACTGCTCTAAGCTTGCTCCTGTGATGGACTACAATCTCAATACAAACTAGTAGTCCCATCACTGGAGCCCATTTAAAAAAAAAACGTTACACACATATACAGACACGCGTTTTATTGAGCATATTGAAATGTATTGCAGTAATGTGCAACCCGATTGTGTTGTGCATTTTCATGCGTCTCCATTGAAGTCTATGCAGCCAAACGCACTGTAATCTGCCTGGAAAAAAGCTCATGTACCTTTTCCAGCCTTTTGCAGCTTGCGACAAAACTCTCAGGTTTGAACAGGGGGCCATAGAATAGAATGGGATTTCTTGTATTATTTTTTCACGCTTTGCTTTGAGCGTCAAAAACACCTCGGTGTGAACCGGGACTTATAGGTAGCACACGCCCTTAAATTAGTTGCCAGTGGGAAGATTTCCACTTGAACACAGATGAAGATCAGCTGTGTCAGTGGTTACTAATTCTGAGGGATACCCAAGGTGAGATTGCACTGGTCTCATCACGCAATGTCGTATACGTCTGTATAATATACAAAATGAAAAAGTATTTTTAAATGAGCTACAAAATGACTTTGCATAAAATGTATCCAATTTACAGCTGAACCCCACGCAACTATAACAAATGCCAATGAATGCAGCTATGTATTACTTAAAAAGATAAAAGTATGCTCTGCCAAAACTCTTTTTGGGGGGTTTATGTAAGAGTGGTTATAGATTAGAGCTGTAAGCTATGTGGAGCTTTGTTAGGGAGATTTTCCCATTAGGGTCACGGTGGCAGTGTCCCCAGATAAGTAATAAGGGATAATTTGCAACAGGAACACACACAAAAAAAACAGGGAGCTTCTAACCTTCACACAGAAATAAAAATACTTATTTTTAGTAGAGTGAGTGTGATGTGGTTAGAGATTTTCTCTCAGTTCCTGATTGGAGAATGGGGGGAAAGGGAAAGCCACATAGGGAGTCAATTAGTTGTGCTAATAGGAGGTTAACAGGAGATGAGCTCAACATTCTGCTGCTACTCCTTTCACTGTCCAGTCACAGACTTGGGGCAGCACAAGACCTGTAGGTGTCCCTGCATTAGAGAACAATTAGATCTCCTTCAGTTGTGCTGTGTGGCAGAGCTGTTGCATGGGCAGCAACACAAATAAGATAAAATAGTTCCCGTAGATACAGCCCACATGTGTATTTAGAAGTTTGTCTGGTGTTCAGTTTTAAGTCGAGCTCACTACTGGCTCTTCAGTGTGGATGCCTTTGCCAATAGTGGGCTTTATGAAACTTTTTTCCCCATAATTCTGGGGATTTGGGTAGTGAGGCAGGTGCAGGTGCAAGGGCCTGCTTTATAATCCAAGTAACAATTGACTTCCTTTGATCTCACCATAGCTTTACTATAAATATGTAGCACCTCACGACATTTTACTGATACAGTATAAATGGTCTCAACTTAGCCTACTGTGGTAACAAGAGATCTTTAATTATAAATGAATAACAAAAAATTGTCTGGCACTCCCGTAATTACGCTTCAGATTCTGGGAAGAAAGGCACCTCTAACCCAGCAACAACAGCCAAAAAACATTTTGTTCCTGTCGAGCTCCCTCCTATCGCATTTCCATGCCAAGCAGTCGTTTTGGCTCAGTTATGACCTGTGGAGGTTTCTAGAAAACATACAAGATTTTCCAGCAGATACCAAGATTAATGAATGTTTATTGACATTTCCTCTGTGAGGTCTGATGTCCTTATTTAAAGAAAAACAACTGAACAGAGCAGTAAATTGCTTTTAATGTAATACCTTTGCTATTTCATGTACATAAGGAAATAGGCAATTAGAGAAGACATTGTATATAAAAAAACCTAAAACAGGACAGTAAAATATGGCAGGTACCCATCAACAGATCAATGCCCTGCAAGGAATCAACTCCACATTTCCCAGCACTTTTACTCTTACCCATAACTAGATCGCTGAACTTCAGAAAGAATTCAAGACCAGTCACTAGGGAAAGGTATATTTGTTGCACTTAACTCAGACATTAATGAAATTCATAATCCAGAAGCAAAGCCACTCAAAACTAATTTAGTTTTAGGTGCAAAGGAAGTGCTGTGTGAAGCTGCACCCACCTACCGAGGTCTTCCGTGAGCTTCCACCCAGTGTCCCCCTCCTACTGTTCCTGCTGCTTTAGTAATGATTAGGGAAAGGTAGATTCGGTATGAATCTCTTGACACAATTACAGGCACAGCAAAAGTAGAGAAGAGATGGATGATAGTTCTTCAGTGGTGGACATTCACAGCTAAGTTTTAGAATTAATTGCAACTTCACATCAGTCACTCCAAATCACTCGCCACCCAAAACTAAAACTCTTGAATGGAGCTTTACTTTACTAAATTCACTTGCGGTAGTCCTTTCAAACCACAAAAGCTCCAATCAGTCTTTATAATGTCTCCCTGCCTCACCTGAGGGCAAATATTTACGATCGTTCAAAAGAAAAAGAAAAAAAATTAAAATAAAAATTGTGCGTAAATTCTCATCTCTAAAATAATTGTTAAATCCATCAGACAGAAATTTCTTGTTCTCCCTTACGACAATGTAAAGCATGTCTGGATTAGTAAACTGCACCATGCACTGGTGAATTAATACAGCGAGCTTATGCATACACATGATAATTCAACATGACCTTTGTGTCATAGTGGACTTGTGCCAGATAGGTCATTGAGAATCTGAGCGCAAAATACAGATTCCCATATGATCTAAGCCACCTTTTTTCATAGAAACAAACAGATATCGGGTAAGAATCCAATGTGTATTGACCCTTTTAGAACATATCTGTACCACACCAGTCATCATCTATCCTAAGCCATCTCCTCCCTTCTACTTGGCTATTAGACACCTCCTTCGATATCAGGTTATTTATTCACTGCACTGGTTTAAAAGGAAATAAATGGTGTGGGCTAGACCAAGCCAAGAGTTGATCCGTCTGTCTATGGAAAAAGTTAGCCAAAACATTCTTGGCAAAACACTTCAGATACTTTTATAGCCTACACCAAACTGACAGATAAAACAAAAAAAATAGCAAAATGACAGGTCCTCTTTTAAAGTTCAAGTGGGTCAAAAGAAGCCCCAATACCTAACTTTTCTTTGGATGGTGAGGCCAAACTTAGTTGACTTTAAACGCAAAAGCATCATCTCCACATCCGACACTTCCAGGAGTGTTGGATGCCTGGCCCCCCACAGTACTGAATGGTTCCTCCCACTAGCCCCAACATCACTGTTGTGTCCTGTAGTGAGGTAGGACCAGGAGATCAAACCGCAGTTATATGTGTGGGGTGCAGACATTATCGCTTAAAGACAGCGAGGTTCAGCTCTGCCACATACTGGAGAGCTATGTAATCAGAGGCTTCTTTTGCAGTGACCTTTAACTAGATTTAACAGGTCATAAAAAAATTTAAAAAAACCCACAGGGGCTGCCTTTGCCGACACATTCTGAACATGCTAGTTGCCTGGCTGTTATGTTAACCTCCTGTCCTAAATACTTTAAATCCCAATTGCTCTTGACCAGTTTAAATCCGCTAAAAATATTCCAGGTGCATCAAAAAACATTCCAAGCACGTTAAAAAACATTCAAAGCGCATAAAAAAAAAAAAGTGTGCAAAGTCTTAAATTTCATTTTCTTTAAGAAACAACCACAGCCCGAGTAAAAAGGCATGTCCCTGCCAGCATGCTGTGGAGTGCAGCCTTGCTTTCTGTGGGGAAGCAGTGGTCTCTTTTCAGAGGTCTAACAAGTCCCTCTACAATCAGCAGGTAGCATGAGCTTTGATTGCAAAGCTCAACTCTTAAGGTGCCCATACACTGCACGATGCTCGTACGAGAATTGCGGGAAATCCCGCGATCGTATGATAATCGTGCAGTGTATGGAAGGCGTGCGACCGTTTCTACTGTACGGTCGCACGACTTTTGTATTTCGAGCATGTTGGAAAACCAGCCGAGAATCGTAAGATTTTCGGCTGGTTTTTAACATGATCGAGGGAAGACTGCCGAACGGGCCGGTGTTCGCACGCGCACACTGCCCGTTCAGCATTGCAGTCATCGGAAGCCCGCCCCTCAGGGGGCGGGCTTGCGATGATGGCAAGTGCGATCTGCCTGTCCGTGATGGGCAGATCGTAGGGTTTTTTTTAAGTACTTTACAACCCTCGCAAGACAAAAGTCTTGCAAGGGTTGTAAAGTGTATGGGCACCTTTAGGGAGCCCGATGGACCTCTCTAGAGAGACAAGACGATTGCTGAGGGCAAAGATCCTTTTCTCTACAGTATGTTGGCAGGGGACAGGCTTTTTTACTCTCTTATTCAGGCTGTGGCTGCTTTCTAAAGAAAACGACCTGTAAGACTGCAACTAGCATCTACAGAATGCAAAGTCAGTAACAGCAGCGAACATGTTCCTTTTTAAACTGTTAAAGAGCCAGGCAATATGTGCTTCCACTGATGAAACAAAAATAAGATAGAAGTAAATTAGTCACGTTGGTAGCCTGGCTCGTGGGATTTAAACAGCATTACAAAGACTATCGTAGGGTGTATTAAAGACACAATTTTCACCGCTGCCACCATCATGTAACACAAATATGTAACAGCTTATTATTTCTCCACTTAGTATTCTAATTATGAGGCTTAGTAATATGAACTCCATACAAGTAACCTATGGGTGTAAAAAGTAAAAGCAGATGATTGCCAACAGATGGCTAAGCCCCAACTATTTCACACATTCTGACATGTACAGCCGTTCATTCCCCAGTGCGTGCCAAGCCAAAAGTGTCATTTGAGTAGCAACTTATCAGTCCGCACTGTTCTTCAGCCCCAGGACAAGGAGAGCCGATCACACTTCAAAATTTAGAACAATTGTTCTAGCCTTAAATCGGTCCACTGGAAGGGCCAGCTTAATGAGTAAATGGCCCTAATGGACGGGGGAAGAACTTCAAAGCATCTTGGTTTTTAGTACACCCTGTTACCCAGCTTATTTAAAACAAGCACAGATGATTTAACTGTCCACATCTGGCCTGGAAAACACTGCTCCCCAATGTGCAAAGAGCACTTTTTTTTACAAGAAAATAAAAAAAAAATCAAGTTTTAGGTCTAGGTCTTAAGTCTAGATAAGAAGGCGCAGCTTGTTTAACGGATGTGGGCCATTTCTTCCAAAAATGGCGTTTTCATGCATCCAGTGCAGAGCTGATCCATCCACAGAGGTGCCTCATGCTGCAGTGGGGTGCGGCGGGGGAAGAAGTTATAGGTTAAGTCGTAGTTCAGGAGGCAGCTGATAGAGGCCATGTAGAGATCAGAGAAACGGCAAAGGCGGCGGGAGAAGTAGGTGGGGTTGTGGCAGGTGCGGAAAATACTACCAAACTGAGGGTTGAAGAGGTTCTTGGTCACTGCCCTGTAAAAGACATAAAAGATTTCAGTAAAACTGGATTATATTGTAATAGCAGAATAAAACAATGTTAAAGCACACTAAGCTGTCCTCCATAGTGGTGAATGATAAATTTGCACAAATGGGCAGTTTAGAATGGAGACTTCAACCTCACTGTCTATTTGAAAAGGGTCAGTTAAGATTCTATTTGGAAGGTTTAGTTCTCAGGAGTTAAATCATAAAAATGCATTCAAGTACCCTAACTATTAATATAAATGAATCTTATTTGTGTATCACTTGGATGTAGATCCTCAAATCAACTCTGAATTGGTGCCGACACTGTCCTTCCTTCTAGAGGGGGGCTACTTCTGTTCCCCATGGTTCCTGTGAGTGTTGCAAAGTAACCACCACTCCAAGCTTGCTCCTGTGAATGACTACAATTTCAATACAAACTAGTAAACTAAACGTGGGATTGTAGTCCATCACGGGAATGAGCTTGGAGCAGTGGCTACTGTACAACACACGCACAGACCATGGGGAACAAAAGTAGCCACCCTCCATAAGGAAGGAGAGAGTCAGCACCAATTCAGAGATGATTGGAGGATCTACAGCCGAGTGATACGCAAATAAGATACATTTTTGTTAATAGTTAAGGTACTTAAAAACACATTTGGGGGAGGCGCGGCCAAATAGAGAGCCTAATGGCAGCATAATCCCGGAGCTCCGTGTCCACACAGGCCTAGGATCTCAACACAGCGACTAGCAGGCACAGTATCGGCTCTGCTCTTCACCGGCAGCAGCAAAGGCGGCTACCGTCCTCGTAAGGTGTTGGACTTCTTCCTTCCAAGATGGCGGCGGTGGTTCATCCCCCTCCTGTCTCCCTCACAGGGATCAGAGGAATCGGACACATCTCCCCGTCCATCGAGGGAAGACGAGCCACAGGCTCTCCAGACCCGCTCCACACCGTTGGAGTCTTTGTCTCCTGCTACCCCCAACCACGCGGAGCCCTGCAAAATCAAGGCCCCAGCTTTCAGGCCTAACGGATGAGGTGAGCCTTTCCCACCACTCCTTAGAGGACACCAGGGAGCTATTCGCCCCAATTGAGAATTATCCCACTAACATGCAACCTCTCTCAGATACTACTCTGAAAGACATGGTAGTGTCCCTGCATTGCTGGCTTAATACAGATATGTAGTCTTTGGTGCAGCAATTGAAATCTGACCTACAAGAGATGGGTGACAGTCTTCCATATTGAAAATAAGATGGGAGAATTTTCATCCACCTTCAATGAGCTTGTGGATTCCCACAATGACGGTGAAGATGATATAACATGGCTCAAATCAAAAAGCGGCGGATTTAGAGGACAGGTCACATCGCAATAATATTAAAATAAGGGTCATTCCAGAGTCCATTCGCCCTGACGACCTGTCCAATTTGGTACAAAGCTTCATTGTAGCCTTCCTCCTGGATGTCTCCCAATCCGAATTATACTATTTACCTTATACACAGGCTATCTAGACCCTCACATCTGCCTTCATGACTAGTTCAAGTCAAAAGATTCATAAATAGATACAAGGGCGTGCCTCCCTTAGTGTTAGCTACCTTGCAGAGTTACTGGTTTTGGTACTTTTAAGTCGCTAACCTCAAAACAAGCATGCAGATTAGGAAAATCAGTAATGCCAGAAGCCCTTATCTGCATACTTTTGTCAGGGGCTAAGAGTTAGTGTGAGTGAAATTATTATGTGATGCACCGATACCATTTTTTTTCAAGTACTGATACTTGTCCAAGTACGCCCAGATACAAGTACTGATACATTTTTGTTTGTTGTCATGTGAAAGTTTTTCTAATAAAATACAAACTAATGATTTCAGGACAGTGGTGGAGTGCCAGAGCCAGGTCCCAGCTGCAACCCTGGTAGTTCTCGTGGAAATCCCAAGTATCGGCACTGGTATCTGAACTGGTATCTGGACATCCCTAGTATGTATGCATGGATGTATGTATGGATGTATGTATGGATGTATGTATGGATGTATGGGAGGAGCACAGGCATACTGGGAACAGCCTTAAGCTGACGTGCCCCTGTTTGACAACACTTATTCAATGGACTTTTGGTGGCACATCTGTCAGAATGCAATATAGACAAGACTGGGGATTTGTTAAGTAGGGTACACCTGGTAGATCATTTTGGCCATTCCTGATGAATTGCTGACAGCACGCTTCCACCCAGCATCCCTCGATCAGCTGATCGAGAATTTTCCAATTTGCTCCTTCGGCCAGACAGAGCTGGCAGCCAATCAACTGCTAGCTGCGGTCGGTTTTCTGACAGTGGCCGGCAACCTCTGTCAGAATACAGTGCAAACAGCAGGGGGATTCGTCCATCAACGCTGGTAAGTGTTGGAGGAATCGCCTTTTTTTTTTTACCCATTCAACCGGCAAGCAAAATAGACACATGTATACCCGACCTTAGTATGGATGGGGAACTTGAGAATGAGAAAAATCTATCAGTGTATGGCTGGCTTTACAGAATTCTCAGAGGAATCAGAGGCAAGTACCTGAGCTCTTGTCTTTCCCTCATCCAGTCTTGTAGAATCTGCTGCGACTCCGGATCACGGAAATTCTGTAAGGTAACAAAAAAACTTACTAGAACTGCCTCTGCAAGTCATCAGATTTCTAACAGCCTATAAACAGATACAACAACTTGCATCTCACTGCCATAAGAGAACCAGCCAACAACAACACATGCATTCACAACTGTTAAAATGACTTAAGAAGTCAACGCTCTGATGACTACAAGATGAATTATGGCCTTTTGATAGACACAAAAACACATTTTGGTTCAACAATTTTCTAAACACAGCAACTGCACAGGACATCAAAGAAAGAAAAAAAACAAAAAACCAGAAGGACTTCTGATGTTATTACATCACACCGTGCAACTGAATCCAAGAAGGGAACAGAAGTTGAGAAACAGATGTGTGATTTCACGCACCATGAGATTAGATTATGTTACATAATACCAACAAAAAAGTTATCTAGTCTTCTAATACACAATTCTCTAATACATTGTGTATTAGAAAACAAAAATAACGGAAACAAAATAGCTTGTTTCACTAAAGCAATTTAAAATCAGCCCAAGTTTCTTCTGCCAACCAAATGAGCTGCGCTACATGTTGTACCTTTCGTCACCGCAGTGCATAGAGTCACTACACTGCATCACAACACGATGGGGTGAATAGAACTGTCACTTTGTAACATTTTAATACAGGTAAACCGTGCTCTGTGATCAGCTCATTGTACCACCCCCTCCCCCCCAAATGCATCTAATGCCAAAGTTTTTTTCATTTTGGGTAGAGTGGGGAAGATTAAAACCTCTATATATGTCCTCTCTCTCTCTCCACACACACACACGATAAAATCTGAATGTTTGGCTAGAAAAACATCTGCAGAACACCAAACAAATATTTTGTGAAAGCAGAGTCCCTGTAGAATAAAAAGATGCTAGTTGCAATTATGCTAGCTTATATAAAACACAAGGATATACAAGAAGGTTAAACATATGACTTCCATGTGTGTGTCAAAAAAAAAAAAAAGGGACAGGAAAAAAGTTTTGATAGCATGAATCTCCGAGCTCCGTCTATAATTATTAGATTTTATAGCAGAGTACATGCCTACCTGCATACGCTCCAGCAGGCCAGTCAGAGCCTGCATCCAAGTCAGGGACTGAGAGTACTGCTCAGTGTTAACAATTTTTGTTTCACTCTCCAACTCCGGCACAATGGCCCCTGTCCTCCAACCATGACGCAGCATCAAATCCTGGGGAGAAAAAAAAGAACAGGAGGCGGATTACCAGGAGATGTACAGGAAAAGGGGATATTAACATGTCTAGAAATAGAAGAGAAGACACTTACTGCAAGGTCACTATATAGGTGGTCCCCAAAATACAACACTTTAGAACCTCTCCAACCAGTCAAACGAAGGAAGTCAAATAAGTTTCCCTGGAAAAACAAGACATCGCAGTTTAAAAAAATAAATTATTTTATTTAACAAATATCAGGCTCGGGGCTTAAATACAATTTAGAAATGGTTTTATTTTTTTGGGCAGGAATGTTTAAGACAGAGGTGCCCATTAGGTCGATTGCGATCTACCAGTCGATCGCAAAGTGAGGTAGATAGCGATCGGCTGTGTCCTGTGTGGCTTTTCCTCTGGATCCCCGCTGCTCTCCACCATCTGTATGCAGTGGGAATCCGAGGAGAAGTGAAGGAAGCGCTGCGGCCGGCAGCGGGGGTGTGGGAGGGGGCAGAGGATGGAGCCGGTGTCACAGCAGCATGGCCAGGCGGTGAGGAGAGAGAGCCGCTCGGCCAGGATCTGACAGCCGGCAGCTATCTCTGTCCTCACCGCTCGCCCATGGGCTCCGTCCTCCGCCGGCTGCAGCGCTTCCTTCACTTCTCCTTGGATCCCCGCTGCATACAGATGGGGAGAGCAGCGGGGATCCAGAGGAGAAGTTGCAGGCTGAGCCCCCGTGTGCGTGGCCGAGCCGGCAGAGGATCGGTACATATCGCTGGAGCAATCAGCTGATCACTCCAGTGTTTGTAAATAGCTGGGGACACATAGTACTATGTGTCCCCAGGTATGAATGAATAGGAAGTGCTTTGCATCACTTCCTGTTCATTCATGATGTTTCGCAATGGGGAGTAGCACTCTGTACAGAGGATTCTCCCCATTAACTGCTTGATAGTAAATATGTTCTGAATGAATGGGAAGCCTCTGTACTTTCCATTCATTTAGAACAGAGGCTGCAGAAAAAGAGATTAACGACTTTGTGTCCTCAATTTATTTTTCTATTTTAAAAAGGGAAATATCAAGGTGCTGTTTAGACCCCTGATATTTCCCCACATTAGTGCCTGTGTTCCAGTCCAGTGCAATCTGCAAAAATAGTGCTTGCGATCGCACTGTGGGCGATCGCATACACCTGAACACCTGAATGCAGGTGTTTTTTTGTTAGTAGATCTCATTAAGCTCATTTCATTTCAAAAGTAGATCTCCAGATGAAAAATTGTGGGCGCCCCTGGATTAGGATATGCAATATTTTACACTTTCCATATGAAGCATACCAGGTGGTAAAAAGGAAAGATAGCAGTCAAAGTGCAAATGAAGCCAAAACATTTTTTGGATAGAGTGGAGAGGGATTAGAAGACCTCTCAGGTTTTTATTGCTTTCTGTGTCTCGGTAAAGGAGAAAATAGAAAATTTCAAATTCTGGGTTGTCAACAGACTAGGAATAGATGGTAGATCTTCCAATGGGGACATTCATTCTAGGTGGGGGAGGGGGGAGGGAAGGGGGAATGGGCACTTGTGCCACTAATAAAGTCTACTTTAACAGAAACAAGGGTCTTATTCAGCAGTGGATGGTAATGTGTCCATTTGCAATTCTGCAAGAAAATCATCACCATCTCCACTACCATTCACATCACTGAACAGGGGGCACCACATGACACCAAATGAACAACGACAAACGATGACTCAGGCTAAAGCAATTCTTCGTAACTACTAGGAGCACAGTGTCTCTGCTTCTAAAGAGACTTGGAAGTTGAAGAACTCAAACAATGTAAGCAGCTAGCAAATTGTAAAGAGGAATCTAGAACTACTTTCATACATCTGTTATCTTGGAGCCCCACCAACAGGTAAAGGGCCAAAAGAACCAACCTTCTAGCTGAAAGCTCACACTTGCATATGAACCACATACATTCAGTTCTCTTCCTTGCTCTTCAGCCTCAGAAACCTAGGAGTTCCCTGAAAATAGCTGAGGGCATGTGTAGGCACCACTGGGGACTGCATCACCATTCTGATAAAAAGATGTTCTAGTAAGAATTGAGTACAGAATTGCTTTACAGTCTATGCATACCCAAACAATTGACTTTTTGCTCCATTTTGGTCAGTGAAAAAGGGTAATACCTGTTGATCTTGTCAGAAATTCAAAACTGTCCTGTGCACTCTGCGGTGTTATCTCAAGTAGTCCAATCAGCCCTCCCAGCTCTATCCCTTGGAACAGAATACTGTATTTGTCCTTGTATAAGACTATACATTTTCATAAAAATATTTACCTAAAAATGGAGGGGCGTCTTATACACGGGGGGCCCAGAGGAGAACCGCGGTTGCGAAACTGCCGATATTTCTGCAAACTAGCCTCACGAGTGAAACTTCCGATTGCAGAGACAAGCTAACAGGTCTCCTCCAAATCATGAGCCTTATGTACCCGACGTCAGCTGATGCTGCGCAGAGCCTGTAGCCAGTGCCCAGATGCAACAGGGAGCGGTAATGTCAGAGCATTCTGAGCCCATGAAATGTCAGAAAACAAAAAAAATCCCGGTAAATACCAATACCAGGAAGCGGCGGTCTTACTCTGAAAAATTTAAACTGGATGTAATCAGTTATGCAAAAGAGCATGGAAAATATTGATTTCTGAATTTTGGGTAAGAAAAGTGGGGGGCGTCTTATAGATACGGTATATTGCCCCCAAATTATGGATAGGAGAAAAGGGGGAGTTGACAACTAGACAGGGCTGATACAATTTTTTGCAATTTTCATGCGGCAAAGGCAGGAACCCACAATAGGATTTAGGAGCCGAGTGTATTTCTGACAGGATCAACAGGTATTTGGTGCACTTGAAGGATCTTCAAAAGGGATAACAAATGGAGAATTGTTCATGTATGACAGATGCACTGTAAAAGGCTTTTATTTTGCCCTGACATACACTTTAAACCCCAATACAATTAAAGAAGAAGATAAAAAAAAAAGTTGGTGCAGTTTTTTTTTTTGTATGTTGCGTAATCGACATTTTTAGGATAACAAAAAATAATCATTTTAGAAGACAGCTCTGAGGCAGGAAATCCTAAGAGCACAGAGCTTACTGCTTGAGTGATCATAAAGCAGATCAGGTATCATTCCGTGATCCCCTACTCTCCACCAACTGGCAGGAGGACCCAATCGGACCGGCCATGTGAAAGGAACCTAACTGATGCTAATAAGAATTCACTAAATATCCACGCTCCAATAGTGTGAAAGCAGCATTGTAAAAAAAGTGCATGCGTACCCAATACATTTCAACTGTGACTGATGCTAATATTACACTTTCCACCACTCTATTGCTCCTCTCTGCACAAACAAACAAACACAAGAAGCACACACACATTTTCTATGTATCAACTTCCCTCTTTTTGTCTTTTATTCTTTATTTATAACTGCCACAACAGAAGTACAGGAAGTCCATAACATTATCAGCATGACAATACAAGTCCACACTCACGGGATACACAGATAGATGGTAGGTGATCCATTTCCATTTGTAACTGAATATTCTGCAGTGCGTTTAAAACAGCCGTCCATGATGTGGTAGTGCACATAGTTTTTTTTACTGGATCCGACTACCACTTCAGTAAAAAAATTATCCATATTGTCTTGTCGTATTTGCAATTCCCACAAAGAGATGTCCCCTTAACTCCAGATCTAGGACTTCCTTCCCCTACTTCATACAACCCTTTAATGTAGCAGACAGCCTGCCAAAACACAATACCCTTAGACAGTAGACTGTGCCAGAACCTGGACTCAGAGCGCAATATTCAGAGTTTAATGACTCTAGTCTCCTACATCCAGTGTTTGTACAAGCGGAGTTTCCAAAACTGCAAACAGGATATACGTGTTAGCAGGCATGCATGAAAAAACCATTAACCCTTTATGTGCAGAGAGTTTTATTATACAGTGATTAGATTCACTGCAGACCTCAGCAAAGTGATGAATCAAAAAGCTGGGTGCTGGGTCGTCATTTGACAGTAACACAAGCTGGGAGCAGTATAAACAAACCTTTTGTTCATCACGTAGCCTGCATGCTCAGTGGTGGGAAAACTAGGTAACAGAGCAGCGACAAAAGCCAGCATGACGTCCGATTCTTTCCTGAGCCAATGAAAGCAGCCTCATGTACATATACAATTGTTATACAAATCACTCAGTTAAGAGTCAATCAGCAGATAGAAAGTAAACTTGGCCCTCCTGAAGGCGGCTAGACATGGCTGTTTAGAGACAAAGAGGGAGTGGGGGATTGTTCCTGAGCTGCATGATAAATACCAATGTCATCAAGCATGTCAGCAAAAACCAGAGAGCCCAACACACCCAAATACATGCTGACAGCAAAGTACTGTGCGATATTCTTAAAAAGTATATGAAATACTAAAATCTATTCAGTACATCTTTCCGATACATGAACATTTCCCCGTGTTTCGTCTCCTCAAAAACACTGTTCAGATTCCCTTATGTTATGGAGAGAAAAAAGTGTTCTGTAGTTTAAAAAAGGGAAGAACTAAAAGCTGGCCATACACCAATATTTTCTTCATTTAACCTGCAGGCTGAACAGAGAAAATATAACAGATTCCTCCAACGTTTAAAAGCACTTAACTGAAGAGCTGTCTTCATTGTATCCTGATGGCGGCCGCCGGCTGCTGTCAGAATACGTGAACAGAGCCGGAAGCTGATTGGTTGCCAGCTCTTATTCTTCAAAGATTTTCCAACTAGCTCCTTCGATCAGCTGATAGAGGGATGGCCGCTGAAAGGGTGTCAAAAGCAGCACCCACTGTTTGAATTTTGCACAGTGCAAGGACAGCTTAAGGGCAGGCCTTGGGTTTTTACTGCAGCTGAGGTAGTGTTATCAGCTCAAACAGAAAGTTGGGAACACACTGGATTTTTGGCAGGATCCCTTTGTTTTGTTTTTTTTGTACTTGCAGCATTTGTAAAGAAAATAATCATGTATTGTAGAGATGTATTTTTTTTAGGCCCAGGCACTTTAAGGGCCACAAATAAAACTGAAATCATTCTACTGTTATCTGACCAGGAAATGGTCTTCTGATAACAGCCTAAACTTTACAATAAAACACATTTATTAAGCCTCCAGTACAGTAGTCAAGCTCATATTGCTTAGTGCCTAGAAATGGCACAAAGAGTCGGATCACAACCTGTTCCCTTCACAAATGCCATTTCCTTTAAATGACAATTCTATCTATCTCTTTCTCTCTATATATATTTATCACATTTTCTTTAAATGTCGTATAGTGTACCTTTAGGCAAAGCAGTCATACATATAGTTAAAAGAAAACTGGAATTTCAGTCTGCTACCACACACACACACACACACACACCAGTAGACTGAGTCTTGTCATTAAGCAAAGTCATCACTGCAGCATATCAGGGTCTAGATTTTCTTTTAGCAGCACAGCAACGAGCACTAAAACTCCAGCTTTATAGCTTTCTGGTCAGCCAAAAACTGTTGGATATCTGGAGTAACAAGCTCTTCTATGGATGACCTCCAGGGTTTGTGGACTTGGGATCACTTCCAAAAGCACTATTGTGGGGAAGGGAGTTTAGGATTACAGAAGCCTTTGTCAGCATCTTCCCCACACAAGGGCATTCTGATACTGTTATTTACAGCATCTATCTCCTATATTGTAAACCGAAGCTTTAGTTACTAATCCAACATTCCAGTGACTGCCTGAAGCTGGTTAAACAAAGCGCCAAAGCTGACGAAATGTATTTCCTCTGAAGAAACACCTTCGAAAGCTTCCCAAAAACAGAGAAGCTTAATTTAACCTAACAATGGTTTCCCATTCAATGATCAGTCTGTTTCCTATAGACATTTAACACAGTAAAAAATGTTTTAGTTTTCTTGCGCTGTCCGGTTGCCAACCCTCCACAGAAGACATCCTGTAATATAGTGTGGAGCTCCAGGACGTAGAACGTCAAAGCCACATGTACACAGTGGAGGCTTTCATAGCGGGTTAGGGCGCTGTGAAGATTTAATGTCAGAGACCAGGAAGCGCAGCTCCCTCTAAGCCTCTGCACACACACAGCTGCCAAAAGAGCTGACACATTTCAGTCTCCACAGCAATACAAGCACTGCTGATGTGGCTGTTAGCACTTATGTGCCAGAGAACGCCTCAAATCAGTTAACCTGCACAACAGTCTATTTAGGGTTTATGCTCCAACAGGAATTATTCTAGGACATCCATTGTAAACAAAAAATAGCTTGCTTTAGATCTATTACTCAGTAAGGATGCAAAGCTTAGTAAATGATTGAAAGCGCCTTCAACTGAACTGCAATACTTAGTGTATTACCACTTTTGCAGCAGAATTGGGATAACACCTACTTTGTATTGGTTACATGTTCCCATTCACATCGCATAACTTTAAAAAAAAAAAATAAAAAAAAAATTGATGTTTACATCCCCCCCCATGGTAAAAGAGAGAACCTGTGTGTGTGATTTATTTGACTCAGTGTGTTATCTGCTATTCTGCTGCTTTGGTCATAGCAGCAGAATAGCAGATATGGCATAGTAGTTAAATCAGCCCTCCAAAAAGCCGAGTGTGTGGTTGTGTGTGCGTGTGCGAGAGAGAGAGAGAGAGAGAGAGAGAGAGAGAGAGAGACAGGGAGAGGGAGAGAGAGAGGGGAGGGTGGGTGTGTGTG